GCTAAATCCCCAGCCCAAGAATGCTATTCTAGCTGGGGGTTTGGCTCAGTGGTTCTGCTGCCTGCCTTGTAAGTGCAAGAGCCAGAGTTTGATCACCAGTACCAGAAAAAAAAAAAAAAAAGATATTTTAGACATGTTTATCATGGAGGGAACCTAGGTGGTGTATGTAGGTTTTGCTACATAGCAAAACTCTACCCCCCAAAAAAAGACAAAGAATATACAGTGCAATTTTATTTATTGATTGATAGGGTCTCTTACGTAGTTCAGGCTGGCCTTGAACTCACTATGAAGCCCAGACTGCCTCAGCCTCCTGCATGCTGGGAATCACAGGTGTGCACCACTACACCTCGCTGGAAATACCTGTGAAACACATTCCTCTATCAGAGGAAATAGTAGTGTTCATTAGAAAATGTTGAGACTCGAATAATAAAATATACCACACATCAGGTGTGTGACACAAGGAAGTGATATTTTGACGGATATTTATAGTGCAGGTGCTTAGACTGGGAAGAATTTAGAGATGGATTAGGGATACATATACATAGGGAACTGAGCAAATGCCCTAAGAACTGACTTCAGGGATGGCCAGGGTTGTGTGAGACAGGAAAATGGTGGACTGCCAGAGGCTCAGACAGGATGGAAACACTGAATATGCCTCTCTATACATTGGGGATTCCTGGGTGCAGATTTTTTTTGGTACCGGAGACTGAACTCAGGACTTGTACTTGCAAGGCAGGCAGCAGCACCACTGAGCTAAAGCCCTGGCCGTGTGTGCAGATTTTTTAATTTCTTCATCTCTATCCTGTAGCACAGAGCCTGTAGAAGGTACTCAGGAATTACTGTCAAATGAATACATACAGCCAAAATGATGATGGAACTGCATCAGAGGATGTGGAAGCACAAAATGTCCATGCTTGGAGGCACTAGGGTAAAAGAATAAAATCTTTTTTCTGTAGAACTAGGAATCAAGCCCAGCACCTTGTTTTGGCTCTACTGTTGACTTATAACTCCAGTCCTAAATCCTTAAGTTTTATAGTGGGAAAGCAATAGGGAATGCTAAAACTGAAAACTTTAGCAGCACTAGCAGTTGGGCATGATGGCATTTGCCTGTAATCCCAGCACTCTGGAAGCCTGAGGCAGAAGGATTCCATGTTTGAGCTCAGCCTGGTCAACTTAGTAACTTAGCAAAACTCATCTCAAAAAATGAAAAAGGGCGGGGTGGGGGTGGGGTCAAGGATTTAGCTCAGTAGTTCTGCTGCCTGCCTCGCAAATGCAAGGTCCTGAGTTTGATTTCGGTACAAAAACAAATAAATAAATAAATGAAAAGGGCTGGGAAAGGCATTAGAAACACGCAACTTAAAAAGTATGAAGTCCATGATTTAGGATGACTGTCTTTGCAGTGCTCAGGATTTAACCTCACGCATGCTCAACAAGTGCTCTACACTGAACTACATTTCCAATCCTGACTTACAATTATTTGACTTTTGATTTCTGGACTTTATGATGGTGTCAAAATGCACCAAAAAGATGGGCGTGGTGGTGCACATCTTAATCCCAGCACATGGGAGGTTGAGGCAAGAGGATCAGCAGGAGTTCAAGGCCTGCCTGGGCTACAGTAAATTCAAGGCCAGCCACTACATAGTGAGACCCTGTCTGAAAACAACAACAACAGCTCCAAACAAATTCTCACATAAAAAGTTTTTGCATTCAGATATTTACAAGATATTTAACACTTTAGTATAAAATAGGCTTTGTGTTAGGTGATTTGTCCACTTGCTGTATACTAATACAGCCATAATCATGCTAATATAGTTGCTTCTAGGTTGGCAAGGGTGAGGCCATGAGCAAGGAGAGAATATTAGAAGTCCAGAGAAGGCAGGCACAGATGGCTGGTCATCACCATAACAGTGGGTAAGTGGTGTGTGTGAGTGCGCATGTGTGGTGCACACCTGTAATTCCAGCACTCTCACCAGGGAGGCTGAGGCAGGAGAATTGCTGCAAATTCTTGGCCAGCCTGGGCTACATAGTACGCTCCTGTCTCAAAAAACAAGCAAATGAACAACAACAACAAAAAGTCTCCCAGCATACCAGACTCTATAAGTTAGAGCAGAGAGAGAAAAGAGTGGGGGAGAAAAAGAGAGGACAGAGGACAGGGAGAATGGCTAGAAGCTGAGTAGGTGAGCCTCAAAGCCAAAGGTGGGTGTTAGGAGTGGTGTGGATGCAATGTTTTTCCCTCACCCAGGGCAGTTGTCCCTCCTGTCTCTAAAGGATAGCTTCCTCCACAGCAAAGCCTCACCTAGAAACCTCTACACTCATCAGTACAAAAAGCCACAGCTTTTATTAAATAAAAGAGAGGTAGAAGACAGATAAGGGAACAGGCCAGACCCCTCATTTCCCCTTGCACATACACAGACACACAAGCAGACACAAGTAAATGACAGGGACGCTCAGGGGGCAGAGGGAGGCAGCACCCTCTTGGAATGGGCCTGGACCCAAGGGTGGGCTGAGACTTGGGCCAGCGGTAGCCGTTCAGATGGGTTATGTTTGAGCAGCTTGGAGATGAGGTCCTGGGCCCCTGTCGGCACAGAGGGAGGGAACTTCAGGTCCACCTGTAGGTGTGGAGGAAGAAGGTAGGGCTGCGTTTGTGTCATTTTCCTTGAGCATCCATTCTATTCAGAGACTGTCCCAGGCCCTGAAACCTAATCCGGCCACCTCTAGCCCTGGCGTCTACAGGTGAGCAAGCCCCAAGCAGCCCTCACCTTGACAATTCGCCGGTAAGTCTCATTGTGGGAGGCACTCTCGAAGGGGGGGTTGCCCACCAGCAGCTCGTAGCAGAGTACCCCAATGCACCACAGATCCACTTTCTCGTTGTGTGTGCGCCCCTCGATCATCTCTGGGGGTAGATAGTCCAGGGTACCACACATTGTTTTCCTCCTGGGGAGAGGGAGAAGGAGATGGGCAGGGGTCCCATAGCCAGACAGCCTCCCTCCCCTGCTACATGACAGCCGCAGTGCTGGGGGCTGTTCCCGCAGCAGGGTGGGGTAGGGGTGGGGAGGAATAAACCCAAGTCCCAGGGTGGCTTGCTTATTATCCAGGCAGTACCACATCAAGGGGTATATCTCAGTAAGATGATCCGATACATAAACTGGGAGCACTGGTACACACTTGGAATCTCAGGCTAAGGCAGGAAGATCACAGTTAGAAAGCTAGCCTGGCAACTCAGCAAGAGCCTGAGTAAAATTTTTAAAAGAGCTGAGGATGTGGTTCCATGGTAGAACACTTGCTTAGCATACATGAATTCCTGCATTTCACCCTCAATACTGGAAAAAAAAATATGTAAAGGTAATGTTTATCTTAGAATTATCATTATTATTATTATTATTTTGGTTTTGTTGAGACAGGGTCTTGCTATGTAGCCCAGGCTGGGCTCAAACTTGTGGTGATCCTCCTGCCTCAGCATACTTGGCCTATAATTTGAGAATTATTTATTTTTTAGGTTTTTTTTTTTTTTTTTTTAGTTTTTTTATTGGAGTTAGGGTTTCACTGTGCAGTTCAGGCTGGACTTGAATACACTATGTAGCCTCAGCTGGCCTAGAACTCATGGTGGTACATGTCTATAACTACAGCATTCTGGAAGGATGAGGCAGGAAGATCCTAAGTGCCCCTCACCCCACCAGCCTGGACAACTTAGTAATTTAGTGAAGCTTTGTTTCCAAAGGAAAAAGGCCTGGAGCATAGTTCAGTGCAAAAGCCTTGGGTCCAATTCTTGGTAACACACACACACACACACACACACACACACACACACACATGGTATGGGTAGCCAGGCAAGGTGTCATATGCCTGTAGTCCCAGAGTCCCAGGAAGCTGATGCTGGAGGGCCACTTGAACCCACAAGTTTTAGGTAGGCCAGCCTGGTCAACACAGTGAGACCCTATCATCTTAAAAAAAAAAAAAAAAAAAAAAAAAAGTCTGAGAGTTCCCTCCATGATATGGCAAGAATAACCCATATACTAAGTGGAAAATCTGAGCAACAGAATTGTTGAGTTCGCTTTTTTTGAAAGATGCTATTTCTAGCTGCGGATTTAGCTCAGAGGTTCTGCAGCCTACGTGCCAAGCACAAGGACTTGAGTTCGATCCCTGGTATTAAAAAAAAAAAAAAAAAAATACTATTTCTGTTTTGTACGAGGGTAAACCCCAGTGTTTCTGGGCACCCGGATTCCAAGAGGTTTTGTATTGTCTTGGACAGCCTTGCATAGGACTGACTTCTGGGCCACTGTACCTCAGGGAGGGGGCATGCACGGACCAGCCAAAGTCAGCGATCTTCAGCTCCCCTTGGAGCCCTAGGAGCAGGTTCTCTGGCTTTATGTCTCTGTGAATCACCTTCTTCCCATGGCAGTACAGCAGCGCATCCGCCAACTCTGCCATGATCTGCAGGACAATACCAGGTGGTCAAGCTGCCACTACTCCCAGTGTGTCCCCAGCTTAGAGCCCTCCCTGTGGTACCCAGGTGCCCACCCGGCCCGACCGTGGCTGTTCGCTGCTCATCAAAGGTGCGACTCTTCTGCAGCTCCTTATAGAGTTCTCCACGGGGCGCATATTCCAGAATCAAGTAGATCCGCCTCCGGTCATAGAAGTAGTTGTAGAGCCTCAGGATATTGGGGTGCCTGTGTAAGAGGCAGAGGACGGACGCCTCAGGCAACATCCTCACTTTGGGAAATCAGGGAAGATCACTGGGCTGACGGGATGAACTGGGGTCAGAAGTGGAACAGGGCTGGGAATCACAAGGGGGAGCAGGGGTCACCTGGCAGGGACTGACAGCTGGGGGTGGGGTGGTTAGTGGGTGGTGTTCACTGGCCACAGCTGTACACATAGCAGGCAGGGTAGAGCAGGGCTGAAGAGGAGGCAGGGAGGGGCTCAGGTTTAGAGGGGACACACTTACTGCAGATGGGCCTGGATTTCAATCTCCCTCCGCAGCTGGTGTTCCACGCCCTCCTTCTCGATCTGAGACTTGAAGAGGACCTTGAGCGCCACGATGAAATGGCTTTTCTTCTCCCGAGCCAAGTACACATTTCCAAATTTGCCTTTGCCCAGAGGACGCCCAATTTCAAAGTCATCGATCGTGAGGGGCCGCCTGATTAGGGTTGGGGGAAGGAAGCTCAGGGCTGGCTTGTCAGTCCTCCAGGATACTTGCTTTTGCCCCCCTCCTCCTGACCTTTGGCTGGGCCTCCTGGATTTTCTCTCTCTTTACCATTCCATCACTCTCTCTACCCCCAGGCTTGGGCACTTACGTGAAGTTGGGCACCCCATTGCAGTTCTCCACCACCTTCTGGCCAGGGACAGCTAAGGAAAGCGCAGGTAAGTTGAGGTCCTCCCATACTTGTCCCCTCCAGTCACCCCTCACCTCGACCCACTTACCTGTGGCCTGGCCATTGGAGCGGCTCATGAGGACAAGTGTAGATGGCGTGGCAGGCTCCTTTCGGAGAACTCTCTGGGGAAGGGTGTTCAGGCCTGATTGAGACTGAGAAGAACCAGGAGGTGGCTCTGAGGGTGCCTTTGTCCTGGTGATCAGGGTGGAATGTGCTGCAAGCAGCATTTCAGCTACTTGGTAAAGAACCACCCACCCTCCATTCCAAGAAAAATACTGATAACCACAGTTTGATTCCCCACCCCCAGGTTCTGCTCATTAAGGATTATTAATAGACAAATGACTTGGCCTGACATATAACATTTCACCTCTGGTGCGGACCTACAGTACCTTCTCAGGCATGTATGTAGCTGTTCAATCTACACAGTTCTGTCCATTTCACCACTCTCATTCTCCCAGCCCTCATCCCAGGGAGCAGCAGAGGGCTGGGTCAATGAACACCCACAATTCCAAGAGGTTAGCACCGTGGCACTCTCAAAGTCTCCTAAAAAGCTCAGACCATTAAGGCTTGGTTAACGTCCATAAGGTCTTAAATGTTGAAGCAAACATCAATAATTAAACCTTTGCAGCAAGACTTTAGGGACACCACGGGCTATTCTGATGGCACTGGGCCACTTGTTCACTTTCATTATCTCAGTATAAGAGTGACCAATGTAAAAGTGACAAAGCGTCCTCATTCAGATTCCCCTTGCCAGCCTTACTCAGTGCTCCATGAGAGAGGGGGTTGATGGGCAAGAGAACCAATGGACTTCTGGGGGCACCCAAGCCAGGCCTCCAAGGGAACAAAGTCTGTGGAGAGCCCCTTTCTTCTTTTGTTAAGAGAAGAAAGCCCTAGGGCCCCTAATCACCTGTTCACTGGGATTTACAGGTTGACAAATAACCAGCTGAACAAAATGCAGTCAAAAAAACATACATGGAGGATTCTAACACATATAATAAAGGCATGGCTGCCTGTAAACCCAGCACTCAGGAGGCTGAGGCAGGAGGATCACTGCAAGTTTGAGGCCAGCCTTAACTACAAAGCTAGACCTTGTCAAAAAATAAATAAATAAATCAGGGCCAGGGATTTAGCTCAGTGGTGGTGCTGCTGCCTGCCTCACAAGCACAAGGTCCCGAGTTTGATTCCTGGTATCAAATCGATCAATCAATCAATCAAATCAGAGGGTGGACGTTCAGTGGAGAGTGTTTTTAGGTTTTGTTTCTGGGGATCGAACTTAGGACAGGTTATGGCTGGACAGGACCAGGTTCTGTCGCAAACTGCTGGGCCCCCTAGGTCAGAGCATAAGGGCCAGAACGTTTCCTCTCAGAGAGGAGGCGGGGAAAGTGGGAAGGGCCTTACCGTCTGCCGGCCATAGGGCCAGGGGTAGGCGTTCTCCTTCTGGGCCATCCTTAGAGAGAAAGAGAAAAGGAGAGAAGAGGCGGGCGGAGAAGGAAACGAAGAGTGAGAAACAAAAAAGAGGAAGAGAGGGAAGGAGAGATCCGACCGATCTAGCCGGAAGGGCAGGCGAAAGGGAGCAACCCGGAGCTGGTCTTATCGCCCCCGCTCTGCTACCTGTCCCACCCACTTCTAGGATCCCCTCCCACTCCACCCATGAACGCTCAGCACACCGGTGGGGTGCGCGCGGGCCACCCCAACGGACCCGCGACCTGCCTGATCACCTGGCGCTAAGCCCGCGAAAGGAGATCAACTCACCTGGAGCCCGTGGCGCAAATACTGCACTACTCCTGTCACCCTGCAAGATGAAGGATTTGCCTGACCCAGGCCCTGCCGAGACACTTTCAAATCTCCCGCCAAGGCCCCATTGGTTGAGCCTGCCGCCCATCCCAATTCTTATTGGCTGTCTTCCTGTGACGTAGTCAGGGAAGACCCAATAGAAGAGGCAGAATAGGAGCCGCCTCATGCTCGATTCCGGTTTGGTAAATTTTCTCAAGACTCCCTAGTCAATTCTCTTTTTCTTTTAGAAAACCTTAATATGACTAGAATTTATCCTTATGCATGTGTGAGCTAGGGGTTATATTTGTTTTCTGCCAGATGGAGACCAGTTATGCCAAGACTGTTAAATTGCCCCTTTTCCATCAGAATTAAAATGCTTCCTTTAATAAAGTCTTCCTAAATAGAATCATCTTTCGCTATCTATGGGGGGGATTCTCTCCAGAACTCCACGGATACCGAAATCCGTGAATGCTCAATTCTCTCATATAAAATGGCATGTATTTGCGCATAGCCTTTTTATTTTATTTTATTTTATTTTATTTTTTTGTACCAGGGAGCGAATTTGGGTCCTTGCGCTTTTGAGGCCGGGCACAGGACCACTGAGCTCAATCCCTGGCCCCCATGTTCTTTAAATAATGGCCTTTCCGAAACATGTCAGGGCCGGGCATTGATGGCATGCTCCTGTAATCCCAGCACTCAGGAGGCTGAGGCAGGAGGATCACTGTGAGTTTGAGACCAGCCTGGGCTACATAGTGTGAGTTCCAGGTCAATCTCAAATACATAGTGGGACTCTGTCTCAAGAAAAAAAAAATTAATGAAGAACCAATCTTGAATATTTTCGATCTACTCCAAATCAATACGTTTATAAAATACAATACAAGCTTGTTGTGGCAATGCTTGCCTGTAATTCCAGCACCCTGGGAGACCAAGGCAGGAAAACTGCAAAAGTTGGAGCTCAGCTTGAGTAATTTAGGGATGCCCTGTCTCAAAATAAAAATTTTAAGAACTGCTGTGGATGTAGCTTAGTGTGACAACCTTGGTTTGAATCCCCGGTATTACAGTAATAAAGTAATACAAATGTATTCCTTGGAAAATTAAATCTAAACAAATAAAAAGTACAAGATCACATCTTTGTAATTGTGTGTGTGTGTGTGTGTGTGTGTGTGTGTGTGTGCGCGCGCATGCGCGCGCACGCGCTCTGAGGAATGCTAGAAGATTTTTATAGACTTACTCTCAAATTCTACACTGTCCTGTACCAATATGGACTACACTCTTAATACCACCTGCCTACACTGAGAGCAATAAATGCGGCTCTGTTCAAAATTGTGTTCTGTTTTCCTAGATCAGAAATACTAAAAATCCACTGTTTTGTAAATATGTTTTATTCTGTGTCATTAGTATTTTGTTCTTAGATTTTCTTCTGCTCTTCAAAGTATTAGAGATAGAACCTAGAGTCTCTGCTCTGAGGTACATCCCTAGCTTTTTTGTCACCACACATGTGCACACGCGTGCGTGCACATACACACATACACACACACACACCCGGTACTAGGGATGGAACTTGGGACCTTGAGCCACTGAGCCAACCCCCCCACCCTCTCTTGTTATTTTGTAGCAAGGTCTAAGCCATTAAATTCGGCCTCCTAAAGTGCTGAGATTACAGGCAAAAGCCTCCATTCCAGCCTTTCACTGATGTTTTGTTGTTTTTTTTTTGGTGGGGGGGGCGGGGGTTGGAACTCAGGTCCTTGTGCTTGAGAGGCAGCAGAACCACCGAGCTAAATCCCTGGCTCTCACTGATTCTTTTCTTTACTTTCCCCCGCTCCTTTTCTTTTCCTTCTTTCTTTTTTTTCTTTTTTCTTTGTTTTTGGTTTTGTTTTGCTTTTTGAGACCAAATCTCACTATGTAGCCTAGGCTGTCTTCCTGACTCACCCTCCCAAGTGCTGGGATTACAGGCATGTGCCACCAAGTCTGGCTCTCTGCACTCTTGACTTGATTTTCATCTCTTTGGCCATGTTGTGTGTGGTTTCCACTGGCCAAGTAACAATGAAAGGTGACCATGAAGGGATTGTCACTGTTCTGCAAGGGGCTAGTGTTTCATATGACTGGGAAGGGGCAGAACTCTTTTGTGTTCTAAACATCAGGATTATTGGTTACTAAATGTTTGGGATGTTAGACTTATTTATTTAGAGATAAGGGTCTCTCTATGCTGCCCAGACTGGCCTTGAATTCTTAGGCTCCAGTGATCTTCCTACCTCAACCTTCTGAGTAGCTGGGACTATAGATAGGTATGTGCCACTGTGCCACAGTACCTTCTGTTCTTTCCTTCTCTCCCCAACTTTTTTTTTCAGTGCTCAACCTAGGGGGGACTTAACCTAAGGGGGAAAACAAAGACTTAACCTAGGGCCTTGTGTATGCTATATAGTTGTTTAGCTCCGAGCTATATCCCCATTCCTTTTTATTTGAGACAGTCTCAGCTGAATTACCCAAGTTGAGCTGAAACTTGGGATCCTCCTGCCTCAGCCTCCCATGTAAGTAGGATTACAGATGTGCAGCACCACCCTAGTTTATTTTGTTTCTGATAATAGAATATTACAATAAAAAAAAATCTGAAGACCAGAATTTTCATCACTAACCAAAAGCCCCTTCCAGAAATAAAGGAGAGGTAGACTCAGAAGAGTCTGCAAGGTGCTTGCTGGGGAAGTCTGGTCATGTTTCGCCACTAAATTGTCCTCCTTAAAGTACATCTGAGATGCTACCGCTGATGTAAGGCGTCTCAGGATAAGGCATTCCTCTTCTATCCAGACAGCCACTCTATCTTCCATCTTCACAATGGAACACATCCTTGCTAGATAAATGAGAAATTTTGTGCTACATATATTTTACTATAAAATTATGAAAGCTTAAAAAAATAAAAGGGGAAAAGAACACACAAAATTTGCCAGGGATAATGGCGTGTGACTATAATCCCAGCACTCTAGGAGGCTGAGGCAGGACAATTTCAAGTTAGAGCCTGTCCTAGGCAACTTAATGACTTAGTGAGACCCTCAAAACAAAAAAAATTAAGGAGGCTGAGGATTCAACTCAGTGCTAATGATACTAGATTCATTCCCCAGCACCACACACACACACACACACACACACACACACACACACACAAGACAAAACCCAAACACACATATAACTTATTACAGGGCATGGGAGTGTTACATTCCATGAAATACCTTAAATATCAAGAGTGTTCTTTTGAGATGTGAATGTTTTTTTTGTTGTTGTTGTTGTTGGGTACCAGGGATCAAACTCAAGACCTTGTGCTTGTAAGGCAGGTGGTGGAACCACTGAGCTAAACCCCCAGCTGGAGTGTTCTTTTAAAAATCACCTGTGTACATATTCCATTAGTCACACCTTAACAGATCTTGTTATTTTTGATTCTGTCCAACTCCCCTGTTGTAGTCAAAGTGTGCAAGGAAATAGATTCAATACAGGACACAAAATTTATAGGATTATTTTATAATATAAACCCAAAATGTCAAATGCAGAGTAATGCAAGAAGTCTGTCCACTTGCTAGCGACCCAAAGAATCCAGCCAAGGGCCTGGATCCTACAGTAATGTCCTGCACAAGTCCTGCACAATCTTTCCTTCAGGTCTCGCAACGATCCTCAGGAGGATCTCCCACACCCAGACCACCCCAATTCAGTTCACCTGGGTGGTCCAAGTTGACCATTAGTTAATCCACCACATCCCCTCCACACATTACTCTCCCCAGGGGAGGAAACTGTCACTAGTGGCCAAAGGGAATTGCAGCAAAGCAACACCAACAGCTGACTTCATGCTTAGGAAAAAATGCTGCCCCTCTTCCCTGTGCTTCCCGGTGCTCCTCACATTCAGACAAACTTCTCTAGTAATGAACTGTATGAATGATCCTTGAAAGCATGGACTTTGACTTTTTTTTTTTTGTATTAGGGATCAAACTTGGGACCTTCTGCTTATGAGGCCGGTGGCAGAACTGATTTTTTTCTTTTAATGAAATAAGAGACATCCAGGTGAAGCTCCAGGGCACAATTTCAAGAATTAGGCCTGTCTGTGTCTATCGTTTTGCCACCATTTCCTGTATTGTTGCAATGGACAGAACTGTGTTCTTCCAGAAGTCCCACGTTGAAGCCCTACCCCCAGTGTTATTGTGTATTGAGTCAGAGTCTCAGTGAAGGTTAAGTAAGGGTCACAAGGTTGGGCCCTAACCTGGTGAAGCTGATATCTTTAGGAGAGGAGCCGGAGATAGCAAGTCTCTTTCTCTCTCTCTCTCTCTCTCTCCAGCCAGTGCAAAGGGAAGGCCATGCAAGGATGCAGGGAGAAGGAGGCCTCACCAATTGCTACTCCAGTGGTATGTTGGTCTTGGACTTGTAGTTTTCCGTCTGTGAGAGAATAAACGTCTGTTCTTCACGTCATCCAGCCGGAGGCATTTTGTTATGGTGCCTGAGCAGATTAGAGCAAATTTTAGTCAGCGAAAAGCTACAATTCCATCCAGGTGAGACTACTAAGGGCTCAAATCTTTCAGGAATGAATGTTTGTATCACACCAGGTTAAAAAAAAACACAACAAGGCTGGTTTGGTGTGCACACATGGAATCCTAGCTGCTTTGGAGGCTAAGGAGTCTTTCCTCATTTTGTTATTAATATATATTTGTGTGTGTGTGCTAGTAAATGTGGACCAAAAAGACAGAAAAGTGTTATGTTGCATCTTCTTATTAAAATAACAAACAGCTGTCGTAGCTTTCCACGATGGCCCACACTGTGTTTCTCAGACACACCGTGTACTTTTTCTTTGCTCCTACCCTTTTTTTTTTTTTTTTAATTTACTCAGCCCAAGCTTGCTCTACAGAGCCAGTTTCCCTCCCACTCTTCACTTTTACTTTCTTAAATAAACTTTGTAACTGCTTTAAAAAAAAAAAAATAGCGAGCTCAGGCACAGTGCTCTGGCTGGGGCAGCCAGCGTACCTCAGGCAACCAGAGCTCCTACCCTGTGTGGCCCTATGGAGTTATTAGATCTGCACGTTCAGCAAATGTGCTTTGCCATCGAGGGCTGGTCCACTGTGTGCCTATCTTGGTACAGGAGATGCAGGGATGGCTCCAGCAGAAGGCAAGCTGGGACCCGGGAGGTGGGGGAGGCTGAGGCAGATGCAAGGCTGGCAGCAGCTACTCTGTGGGCAGAGGCAGGACAGCCCCATCTCTTGCCAGCTTCCTTGCCTGTCACAGTAACAGCGGCACAATATTTAGTGGAGGAAAGATGAAGGAGGAGGAAATCTCCCATTGGGAAAGATAACGCCTCTCTGCGTGCATTAGGGAGAGAAGCGAGGCGGTGACAGCCTAGATTCCTTTGTGTTTTCTTGTGATTTAGCCCAAGCAGCAAAAATACCCCTTGTTCAGGTTTCTAGTGGGTGCTGAGAAGGTTGGATAAAGGCAGTGATTGTGTTTAACACCCTGTGTCACACTGCAAATTAATCAGAGATAACTAAAAACATGTTAAAATAATTTGAACTCAAATTTTGAGTACAAGAAGACAGTACTGGAAAAAAAATAATGAAAAAATAAAAAAGAAAGAAAGATAGCTTTTGCTTGAAAGAGTCACACGGCCCTTTGGATGACGATACAGTCAGAAGTACAGCTAAGGATAACTTTAGCTGGGAACTAAAGTTTCAGATCTACTCAGTAAAAATAAAACAGATGCACAATGATGCTCTTGGCAAAATTTAAAATAATTTAAATAAGAAAAAAAGCGTAGATTATCAGAAAACCAAGATATCTAAGTTTAGGAGAATTGCTTAATAATTTACAGCACTATTTTAAAAAATTAGGTGGTCATTAAAATTATAATTTAGATTTATGGAATGATATTTCTGTTGTACCACTGATAAACATGTTAAAATGCCAAAAAGAAAATGGTGTTTTAGGATAATGACCATAACCGACAGTTATTGCTTTAAAATTGATGATTACTACTTTCCAATATAGAATATATAGTGATATACATATGTTCTCCAAATAAGAAGTGTGGATTAGGGCTGGGGAGTTAGCTTGGTGGTTTTGCTCCCTGCCTTGTAAGTGCAACAACATGAGTTAAATCCCCAGTACCCTCCCCCAAAAAAACATGGAGACTGTTTTTTGTTTTTGTTGTTTTTTAAACAGTCTCATTATGTAATTCAGGCTGGGCTTGAACTCACAGTGTAGTTCAGGCTGGGTTTGAACTCATGGTAATCCTCCTGCCCCTGCCTCCAGAGTGCTGGGATTACAAGTATGCACAACCAGTCTTTGAGCTAGGATTTCCTACCTATTTGAGATTGAAGATATTACTGTTTTAATTGGTTGATTTGATAGAAATAGCAAAATGAAATAAAAATGCCCAAAATTTGTATTTTAGGGGGCATTCAGTCACCTTGGCAGGGGGGAGGTGGTCACAGAAACAATGAAATTCTTTTTTTTCCCATGTAATACAAGGAAACTCATTTTCTTTTTTTTTAAGAGCACTGCAGCTAATGTATTTTAAAAGACATTCTCAAAAAATAAAATAAAATAAAAAGACACTCTCGCTCGCTTTGGCAACACATATACTAAAACTGGAATGATACGGAGAAGATTAGCATGGCCCCTATGCAAAGATGACACACATGTTTGTGAGACATTCCTGTTTTTTTTTTTTTTTTCCAATTTGGGGCCTGTAGAGGTCATGGTCTTTT